CCCCCCCCCCTATCACGAGAGGTTAGGGCCTGTCGTGTACTTCACACGGCACACATAGCCCAAGAAAAATCATGAAGCCTGTAGCACAAAAAAATCTGGAGACTACCGCCTCAAAAACGGCGGGATAGGCATGAGATACTGTAGGGCACACTCGACCAACGCCAATCAATCGCGTATAGCATGTAGGTGTCCATTAGCGAAGCAAAAAGAAAGACAAGACACGACCGCGGTACGTACTTTGCATATACAAGATATAGGATGCCCCGGATATTTCCCGCAGGGGGGGCAACAAGAAACAGGGGCTTATTTGACTAAGCATTGTCAACTTGACCAAGCATTGTCAACGTGCACGAGCGAAACGCTTTAGTGTAACTAGCCTCGATCCGAACTCGAATGACTTCAACAACAATTATCAACAGAAACTTCTTCCATATATACAGGCCAGCGTGTTTAAATAGGTGCATTGCAGCCAAACTTCACTCGGCACGAAAACGACAGTATCTACAAGCTGAATAATGACAGAAAAATCGTCCCGGTACCCCCCCCCCCCACTGGGTATCCCTATAATATCGATACACGCAGCCCATTTCTAGCACCCAAAAAGCAGCCTGTTTACAGCTGGAATCCTATAGAACCCTTTCATACACACAGAAAGCCAATCCCAAAATATCGTCCACATCCGCGCGTACGTCTGGGTTGATCGTTGATCTGTGGAACCCTGAAAAAACTGGTACATTCCATAATCGTTAGAATAGTCTCAATAAGACTACGAGGGAGGAGATTATCGCCGATGCGCCCGGGTCCACCCTACCACATGATATGTAGAATAACCCCCGAACCCCGAGAAAAATGGAAATCATTTTCGGTAGCTCTCGCGCATTGCCAAGGGGGTGGGGGGGGAGGGTGTTACAGTCCGTGCGCCCGAGCCCACCTAACCACATGGTCGTGACCACCCTTCTCAGCGTACGTGATGGTCCTGATATCCCACGGGCAACCGTTCTGCCTCGCCCATATGAGGACATGAAGATGGCCCTCCTTGGCAGCCCCGCAGCAGGTTGTAGCGTTCCAAGCGCAACCTTGAGCGCGGGCCCACTGGAGGACGTGCAAATGGCCTCCCCTCGCAGCCCCCCAGCACGTGCCCGATGTCCACACGCAGCCGTTCGATCTCGCCCATTGGAGGATACCTACAGTATCGTGTACACCATCAGCAACAACAGCGACATCGGCACAGGGAAACCCCCATTAGGAGAGGAGCGCAGTTTATTTTATTTTATTTTTTTGCCTTCCGACAGTTTATTGTTTTTTGTCACTGGATGAGGCCACTCGACCAAATGGACTGTTTGGTGTTGCGTAAGAATGATCTTCACGGCAACGAGGCCCCTTGCCATACTCCGAGAAAATCAGATTCAAAAACCTGCACCCTATGCATACCAGCAGCTTGAGCAGAGGCAGCTCCAATCCTTCCAAGGGCTTGAGTTTCGAAGACAGAACCTCGAACACAGTGTCTATGGGCTGTGCGCAGAAGCTTGTCGGTCTTTACTGCGGTTCTGATCTCGAGATTTGGCCATAAGCTGCGACGGAGCAGTACACAACCACGCCAAAACTGAAGCACAACCAAGTTTCTGTATTCCACCTTACTGGGCGGTTCATACGATAGAGAGAGAGAGAGAGAGACCTTCTCCGAAAGGAATGATCTGCTTCGTCTAAGCTGTTTCCCTCCTAGAGGAAGCCCCCCACTTGGGGGTAGGAATCCTTAGGGCAGGGAACCCAAACAGGAGGAGTTGTGGTTGCTTTTCCCGCTCGAAGGAGACTACTAACCTAGATGACCCTCCTTCGCGGCTCCCCAGCAGGTGGAAGGACCCCATCCGCACCCGTTCGCCCTGGCCCAGCGAAGCACCTACACGGTACATTATTGTAGTTGACGAACGCACGCACATTCATCGGGTTCGCGCAGGTCGAAAGTGATGCGGCATAATTTGAGATGGGATCGTCACAGTGATCTTGATGGGTTATCCTACCGCGCCCTCTCAGGAAATGGGGGGATAACAACACGCGAGCACATACAAGCAGGTTAACTTGAGCAAGAGGTCAATCGAGTGCACGAAATCTCGGGATTTCTTGCGAAAACGTGCAACTCGTATTGTTGTTTGCCGTCGTCGATAGCGGTAGGATTAGCGTCGGGTGCCTCCGATTATCTTGACTTCGCGCGGTCGTATGGCTCTTGTACCGCTCGATGAACTCTCTACGACTCCCCCTGGACTATCTACCGTTGATTTCTATTGACTTGCGGACCCTTAGGGTCTCTCATATTTAAGTATACCTTCCTTGGGGACGTTAGCCTGTGACGACGGGGAGCGACCGCGTCAAGTGTTAGAATAGTACGGACAGCAGAAGGTACTGGGTAGAGAGATCGGAACGATTTTAATGTGAAGACAACAACAACAACAACAACCAGTCCCCTGACTCTCATTCACCAATATTGCTCCGCACCTTATTCCGTCAGATACAAACTTCGGCATTACCTCGTGAGCATTCCGCGCCGACCATTCGCGCCTCGAGACGGTGTCGGTGACTGACTGACTGATTGACTAACCCTGATTCTGAGCTCCCCCGGTGTTCTCCGTGAGGAGCGGTGTGATGACGAATGAGTGGTGGCTCCGTGGATCCATCGGGATAATAATGGGGTGGGGGGGGGCTGGCAAGACAAGTTTCCGCTTTCGCCAAACACCCTCATTGTTAAAAGACTTCCTACATTTTTCGACACGGTGACGTGCGGGATGTTGGGAACTACGACGTTCTTACCTCCAGGTGCCCTTGCTGTGCGGCTGCCCAACAAGTGGACGTGTCCCAAATGCATCCGTTTAGCCTCGCCCATTGAAGAACTCCCAAATGACCTCCGGAAGCGGCTGCCATGCAGGTGTCGGAGTTCCAGTCGCAACTCTTTTCTCGAAGCCATCGAAGGGCGTGAAGATGTCCACCTCTGAACCAAAAAAGACAACACAGACACAGTAAGCAGCCCGCTTTAGTGGCATGTAGGGGCAAGAGGAGAATATGGCACTATTCAGGGCAGTGTCACAATACGATATATCGGGTTCATGTACATAATGAGATAGTACATATTGAAATTTTCATGCTATCAGAATCGGCAGATACGCTATTCAAGTTGTCACTATATCGGGTTGCTCACTCCATGTCAAATATTCTGTCAAATATTCTTACCAAGTAATAAAAAAAAGGAAAAAATAAGACCCGAAAGCAACCTGTCTAACCACCAGAATAATGAAAGAGTGTGGGTGTGGGTCGATTCCTTGTGCCTGATGCTTCCACGGGCCGAACAAATCAATTCATGAAATTTCTTATGTACTTGTCTACGCATAGATGAGCTTACACCTAGGACAAGATGTACACCACTGTTGTAGGTCCACACGTGTGTTCAATGGTTGCAACGAGCTGGTGGACATTATGCGCTCATCTTTGAAGTCACACGCTGCTAGAGCTGCTGCATATTGTTGTTGCTCCACTCACAAGGACGGAAATCACTATCTACGGGGATAATATGCGAGACAGAGAGGAATGGTTCAGCGAAGAAACACGGAACATGCATGCTGAATGTGATGAATGAACACAACGATACATAGTTGAGTGAGTGTCGCGCTGTACATGCGGCGAGCAGCTTCCAACTAGGGAATTCTAACACCGATAACCGATACCTCTTTTCCTGCTTAGGAAGCTCTCTGTACAATAGTTTGAACCCGACACGGATCACCATCAATACTTCCACCGCATTATCTCCACTACTGTACGTATGGATCTTGAGCAACGTTAAACGGAAAAGAGGTCCGTGAAACGATGCCTGGCAATCCATCTACGGTACGGGGACACCGTGAGGTTTGTTTTGGCTAGCACCCACACATTCCGTTCAGCAAAACTTCAAAGTTCTTGATCGAAAGATGTCAAATATGCCAGGTTTTGGTCCAAGACCCGTCCTTTGTTCAAGATTCTACTGACGCGGGGTGATGCTCCCCAACGGCTCGAAGAGTTCGGTGCTTGCAAACCGTAAGAGCTGTTCAAACGCAACACAGAGATGAGGTCGTTCAGGACCAGGTTTTGCTATCGATGGCAGGCTATTCAGCATATAATATGCTTGTCAACGAACAGTGCTACATCAGCAGATCCAAGGGTGCCCCACAAAAGGAAGTACGGGTGCTCGTTCTCAACGTTCACGACATATGAGCAAGGTGTGCATGTGCATGTGCATGTGCATATGCAAGAGTTTGGAGCACGTTGTTTTGCTACGATACGAGAGGGTGCACATGGCCACCGTTGCTTGTTACGGACTTGGCAACCTCGTCCAGCCGCATCCACCTCCACGTTTCGTCGGCGGATGAGTTCTAAGGTAAAGGATATTTGCCGGTTGAGACATTCCACTTCAGATCGTTCGCCAGACGACCGAAGTCGATAGACGATGACAGCGAACAGCGGTACGCGTCACCACATAAATTGAGAACTTCGTGTTTTGCTCGAGTCCTGTTTCTTGTTCTTCTGTGGGGTGACCCAACACCGACTATCGTATAGGTTTTATTATGGTCAAGGTGTTGTCCTTCTGTTTTTGATCCCGAATTTCTCAACTCCCAGGTTCATAAGGGCGGCGCGTACTGTAAGACCTGTTCTTAAGAAGCTTGACAGCTCGGACCGCGAGTGTTACAGAGTGATCTACGGACCAACATACAAGCGCTTGT